TCCCTCCGCCGCCGCCGGAGGACGCCGCCGGGCTAAGCCCGGGGGTCGACGGCGGTGGCGGGGGATCTCCTCTCTCGCGCGTTTCCGGGGTGGGGCGGACCGCAAGGCGTGTGGTGGCGTGACCGACCTGGGATCTGTGGCGCGGCGGATGGCTGCAGGCGGCGGGAGGCCGGCCCGTCCTCGGACGGCGACGGCTTGGCGCGGCAGAGGCCAGGGCTGCGAGCGCTGCGGATGGCCCTTCGGGCGGCGGCAGCGGTGGCTGCGGTCTGCGGCGGTCGGCTTGGCTGCGGCGGCATGCATGTTGCATTCAGATCGGCGACGGCGGCGTGGAGGGCCTGCTGCTCTCGTCGGCGGCACCTCCGATCAGATCTGTTCTGACCGGTGCAGCCGGCGGTGGTGGTCATCTCTTCCGTCATAGGTGGTCGGCCTGAGGCTGGGTGTTCGGATCTCGGGATCCGTCATCTGGCACCAGCTGTGAGTCGGGGAGACGTAGTTGCTGGTGAAAACCGAGCTGACGGCGGGCGATGGCGGCGTTCCACGTCGTTACCTTGATGAAGGCATCGTCTTGTGACTACCGTCGACCCACTCGTATTGCTTCAGGGGAAACCCTAGGATCTGGTGTTCCAGACCGGACGATGGCGGCACTCCAATGTCGTTTCTCTCTTGGGAGCATCGTTTTGTGGAGCAGCGCTGGAAGTCAGAGGCAGGAGGTGGAGCGGCTTCGTCTTGCACGGAGCTTCGGTGGAGATGTCAAGTCATGCCTGACCGACAGGTGCTACGCTTGGTCATGCCTGGTCGGTAGGTGCTACGCACGACAGAACCACCAAGGGCTTCAAGCTGTGTCGGCTGGTGGTACTTGGCAGCATGGCGCTGAGGTGTATCAGTGGCGACCGCGACGTGTTCAGCTGTTTGCGCGCAGGGAGGAGGTGTCGTTGGGCGCCGTGGTGGCGTCGACGATAGCTGGACCGAGTAAGGTTGATGCATCAGTACAGTTCTGAAGATGGAGCGGTGGTAGTTGGCCGTGGCGGCCTCTAAGAGCACGCCGGACCAGTGTGTGCCCCACACTCGGCAAGTGGCTAGGTTGGGGTCTCAAGTCTTAGATGTTAGGCTTGGCTGCGATGTCTGTTTGGTATAAGGCTTGGCTGCGATATCATTAACTGGATAGATGTAGCGACAGTTTGTTGTTTAGACGGCGGCTTTAGTCTTATTGTTGTATGACTTTGTAAGGTCTTACGAAAATAATTAATAAAGTGGCCGTATGCATCGCCCAGATGCAGAGGCCGGGGCCATCCTTCTTTTCTAAAAATAATATTATAGTAGCATATTGTACATGGTAGAGATATATGAGCTAACTACAGAGATTACAAAATAAAGTCTAAAATAAACAAGCAAATCTTCGAGATCTTCAAACTCTTCCTTCTTCCATGACACAATCTTGTACTTTTTTTAAGACAGCCGTATGAACATAACAAAAGTATCAAACCACAGACCTGTAAATACCAATGAGGGTTCTCCCATTGTTTTAATTTGAGCCGCAATGCCAAGGCTATGTGCACGCACACCGCCATTAAAGTAATCAACCAACATCGGCAAAAGTACCAACACCAATATTCCAGGGACAAAGAGCCGAACAACCAGGTCGACGTCGTTGAGAGCCGAGAGTATGAATCACCATTGTCGAGGACGTAGCAGTCGGGACTGACATTGCAAGGACAATCCTCCTCGCGGCGACCATGAGAAAAAAATTCCAAAACCGATCTGGCGAAGCAAGATCTGAAGGACCATACCTAGAAAAAATTATTCTTCCAACACCACCATTGACATAGGGAAAAAGATCTCGTCGTCGAAGGAAGGGATGAAGGTTATTTATTGTAGACGACTACCTATTTATTGCACCCCAGGACTCCCCTCCCCCGTGCAGCGGCGCCGCCCCGCACCGGGGAGCCCCCGCCCTCCTCCTACAGCCGTGCCTCACCTTCTCTCCCCTCCGCCGCCATCGCCCGGGGCGTCACAGGGCAAAGCCCTTGTGGCGTGGCGGCGGCGGCGGTTTTCTCCTCGGATCTCGATCTGGTTGGGAGGCGGTGCTCCTTTCCGGCCAGATCGGCGGCGACATGGATGTGATGCGGCGGCGGCGGTGGAGGATGGCACCAGCAACGACGGATCTGGCCTTGACTCAGTCGGGCTATTTCGTTGTTCTACCGATCTCAATCGCCGTCAGCGGTGCACTGTTTCTGGACTTGATTTGCAATAAGAGGATGTCTGGGGCGCCGGCCCTAGGCTTGGTGGTGGTGGCCTTCTTCTTCGTCGGAGTTGGTCGACCGACTGGCTGTGCACTTGCATGGTCATGGCGGCGGAGGTCGCAGTGGCCGGCGGCTTGGCCGGTCGGCGGCAGCGGAACATGGCCGGTGGCAGCGGCAATGTTCTGTCTGGATCCCAGGGCGGCGGCCCTGGATGGTGGCGGTCGGTGAAGCTAGGGCTTCCCGCGGTGGCATGGCGTGGTGTAGTCCCTGTTCAATGCGGATCTCTGACGGCGATCTGATCTACGGATTGGTTTGGATCAGAGACGGTGGCGAGCACGCGGGATCCATCTCGGCGGCTCTCACGGCTTGGCGAGGCGGGGTGGGAGCCCTCCTCCTAGGCTCCAGTGGTGGCACAATCAGGCAGTGGCCGGTGCGCCAGGGCTCCTACGATGACACTGTTGTTGCGGTTGGTCGCCGGATTTAGGCAGCTAGATCTGGGGCTTTGAAGGCGGTCGAGACGATGCACAGGTTGTCGGGTGGACTACTTGGGACGGATCCGAGTGAAAACTTGGTCTTCGGTCGATGGCCGGAGCCTGTGATGACGATGCCCTTATCATCGTTTCCTTCATGAAGGCATCATCGAGGTGAAGCTCCCAGCTCCACTCAATACCTCTGGGGGAAACCCTAGATCAGCTGATCGGATGTTGGCGGCAATCATTTGTCGTTACCCCCTTGGGGGCGACATTCTTGGAGGTGCACTCAATCTTGCGGGACCAGCGGACGGCTTCTTTGGTGGAGCGGTGCTTCATCCTACACATTGATGGTGACGGATCTCGACGGCATGGCGCAGTGCAGATTCGGTGTTCGATGTGCGAGGATGGACTCGCGCATGAGGACGATGCTGCCTGGCGTCATGGTGGCGTCGATGGCAGAGAGACATGGCACGGTAGATGACATAGTACAGCTCTGAAGATGGATTGGTGGCAGGTGGCTGCGGCGGCCTCATACCCGGCAGGCGTCCTGGTTGAGGAATGCGCCGGACTGATAGATGCCCCATACCCGGCAGGCGTCCTGGTTGGGACCGCAGGTCTTAAATGTTTAGGTTTGGCTGCGAGGTCTGTTTGGTATTAGGCCCAGACTATCAGCATCCTTTCATTAACTGAATAGGAGTAGCGACAGATGTTGCCTAGACGGTGGCTTTACTCTTACTGTTGTATGACTTTGTAAGTTCTTGTGTGAACAATTAATAAAGTGGCCGCATGCATCGTCCAGATGCAGAGGCCGGGGGTCCTCCTCCATTTTCAGAAAAAAAAACATGAAAGCTTATAAAAAGTTCATAATTACTAAAACAATAGAAATTAGATAGATAGGTAGTTTTATAAATTTCCTATAAATCTCACCATAACTTGGGAGAGGGCGGGTTGCAGTGGACCTTGCCCCTTGAATAGTTTACAATAGGTCCCATCTAGTCTGATTATACAATATTGATCAACATATGTATCAAAGTTCTCACAGTAAAAATAGGTTAATACTACTGCACATAAAACAACTGAGGTCTGAGGAGGTGGGTCCAAACTGTTACAACATCTTCAAAATTAGCACGAACCGGTCAAACTTGTAAAGCGTATGCAAAACTGGTCGAAATCGTGGTGGTTTTTACACGTGGCACCATTTTTCTTACACGCGAGTTGCTATATGTCGAGTGTTATTATCTCTAAAAACATTTTTTAATACATCGTACTACTCCTTGGGAGGTGTAATATTAATCTAATCGTATGGTTACCTATTGAGAAATTTAGATTCTTGGTTATTAGTCAGGGTAGCATCCGCTAGTTAACCGTATTTAGTTGGTGAGAGAACGTGTTTGGCACTGTTTTATTACCGATTTGCAAGTTTTCTAGTAGGCTAGGAGTTACTAAAAAGTCTATCTAAAGGGGTGAGTAAAAGTTCTTCAGGTTGTTTGTGTATTTGTTTCGCAATAAGTCGATCGTGGTGTGTTCTATATAGTGCACAAAAATTAGATTTAAAAATCACGTGAAAACTATATTATTTTTAATGACATTCTTAGTTGCTATTTTCAAATCAATGATTTAATAATCTCCTAACTTATTGGTGCCAAGTTCAAAAATAAGTTTGAATAAACATCCTGCAAATATATTACATGTCCCAAGAAATAACCGTTCTTCATGTTTATAGCTTTAACATATATATCTGTGATAAATCTAGGTACCTTATTGTGATCGACGATGTTTGGACCGAAGTAGCATGGAATTCAATCCGATCCATGTTACCAGATAATGACCTCGGCAGTATAATCATTGTGACTACTCGGATAGAAACTGTGGCCAAAGCATGTACTACCTCCGTCCCGGTGTATAAGTCATTCGCGTAGTTCTAGGTCGATAATTTAACTATCTAAATATGTATTATATGTGACAAAAAATATATATTTAAAAATTACATCCGTGTGGAAATCTAGTGATATACTTTTCATGACATATAACACATATTTAATTCCTTAAATTGATGACCTAGAACTACGCGAATGACTTATACACCCGGACGGAGGGAGTAGCTGTGCTCATGATGATTACATCCATCCTATAGCGCCCCTCAATGAAGATAACTCCAAGAAGTTATTCCTCAGAAGTACTTTTGGCTCCATAAATGCCTCCTGCCCCGAGGATCTGGAAGATTCTATGGTAAAAGTTCTAAAAAAATGTGGTGGACTGCCATTGGCCATTGTAAGCATTGGCAGCCTTTTGGCAGGCTACAGATCTCCTGAAAGCAAATATATGTGGGAAACAGTTCTGAAATCACTTGGTTCACATATAGATAACCACCCTACCCTTGAGGGGATGAGACGGATAATCACACTTAGCTACGACCACCTACCTCATCACCTCAAGAGTTGCATGATGTATCTTAGCATATTCCCAGAGGACTTTTTGATTGCCAAGGATAGGCTGTTGAGGAGATGGATTGCCGAAGGATTGGTTGCTGAGAAGCGGGGGTTGACCCTAATGGAGATTGCAGAAGGCTACTTCAATGAGTTGGTGAGTAGAAGCATGATTGATCGGGCTGCAGATAGAGTGACCGATACTGATGGGAGGGAGCAGATGTGTCGTGTCCACGACATGATGCTTGAGGTCATGGTGTCCAAATCCCTTGAGGCTAACTTTGTAAGCCTGTTAGGTGAGGCGTACCAAGGGATGCCGTATGATAGGGTTCGCCGCCTCTCCATCCATGGTGGAGTAGAGGCATCCAGCAAAATGGCAGAGGATCATGGAAGGAAAAATAAAATCAAAGGGATGAATGTAAAACATGTCCGATCACTTAGTATGTTTGCACTTGATGGGCACAAGTTGCTTAATCAGCTAGATGAGTTCACCTTGCTGAGGGTACTTGATCTGGAAAAGTGCACGGGCCTAGGAAAAAGGCAAATGGATGATATCTGCAGAATGTACCTTCTAAGGTTCTTGAATTTGAAAGGAACAGATGTCAGTGTGGTTCCTTCCAAAATTGATCAGCTAGAGCATTTGCAGACACTTGATGTACGTGCCACACGCCTTGAAGATCTACCAAAAACTGTGACAAATCTGGAGAAACTTGAGAGCCTGCTGTACTCCAACAAGGATAGATACTGGGATTTCCATTGGGAAGCGCCAAAGGGCCTAAGAAAAATGAAGGCTCTACGGAAGGTGAATAATTTGACCGTCAGATCCAACATTGATGTTATTGAGGAGATCGGCGAGCTAGAACAATTGCAAGAATTAGATATCTCTGTTATACCAGAGATTGATGAGGCTCATCAGGACAAGCTTGACGAGTCACTGAGTAGGTTATACTCCCTCCGATGCCTTAACCTTCAAATTGTTACTAATACAGAGTGGAAGAAGAACTTTCTGCAGAACCTCAAGTCAACGCCACCACGGCTCCTGAGATACGTTAGGTTGTGTGGTACCCTCCAAGGAAAGACAGGTGTCCTTGGTGTACCTACGTTGACTGACTGGGTTAGTAAACTGACTAATCTTGTTGAGTTTGCCATAGCTTGGGCACATCTTCGTGGTGACACCCTATTCGACGTCCTGTCTAAGCTGCCCAACCTGAAGACCCTGACCCTCGAGATAAGCTTCCATTCTGAAAAGAAGATAGTTGCACGCACTAGCCATAAATTTCCGGCGCTGACGGAACTGAGAATGGACGGTGTTCGTAGTGTTCCTGAAGTTTACGAATTTGAGAAAGGATGCATGCAAAATCTGGAGACCATTTTTCTTTCTTTCGGTTGCTACAAGCAGAGAATTGTCGGAATCGAGCACTTGACCAACCTTAAAGAGGTGCAGCTCACCGGTACGAAAGAAAACCAAACAATGGTGGATACATTGAAGGAGCTAGAGGAAGAGAATGCCAGGCGTGAGCGCAATGGTTCCAACCTGTTGAGAGTGAAAGTGAGATATGAGTGATGAAGACCCTGCCTAGCTACCTGCCGCAGGATCGTGTCCTTGAATTTGTTTGTTTGGTTAGTTGTTTCACTAGAGTTATTCAAAACTTTTCGTTATGATGTTGTTCTGTACTGCTTTTTTTAATCTTATCATGTAGCTGGAGTACTCAGCACGCGGTTTAATACTTGTATTCATTCTGTTAAATCATCACCATCCTTCTAATAAAGATGGACACGACTTGGATCGAATAGACCAGCTTGCTTCGGAACTGCTGTGTTCTCGACTTTACTTATCCATTGCGCTTCGAGTTCAAAGTTCAAATTAAAAATCACAAGCTCGCTTACCATCAAAAAGACCTCCAATAAAAATGGCAAGTTGCCTCGAAAGCTTCCGCCTACCCATAACGGGCCTCCTTTTTGCTACACAGATGCACCAGCAGTCACAGTTGCCACCGCAACAGCCGCAGGGACAGGTACAAGAAACTAGCATCACTGTATACAAATGGCGTCAATTAAATCCTGACAGAGGTAGTATTATTGTAGGTTTCAAAGCAGAAATTTTGAAAAAATAAATAGAAGTTTCAAAGCAGAAGAATGTGTCAAAGGAAGTAACATGCAAACTCTCCTGCTTATTCAGTTGTTGACAAAAAAGTTAAATGAATCCAATGCATATCTTTTGAATTTGAATATAGTTTGAAACTTTGAAGCACTAGATGTCTAGATACTAATGACCCCGCATGGTTTTTCTATTGGCGTCGCCCACTGGCGACCACCTCCCTCGCCTGGCCAGCCTTGAGGAGCGTTCATGTCCAGTCGGTTACTAGCACCATGCGTCCCGGACGGGTCGGCGTCTCCGCGAGGTCTGACTCCGCTCAGTGCCCCGTAGCTCGACGAGGTACACGCTGCCGACGTCGCCGTGGCACACCCGCTAGCTTCAGGAGCCTGAGTGGCCCAGGCTGAGCCGGGACTCGCGCACCTCGGCCGCTCGGGTCGTCAGGGGCGTCTTTGCTACTGTCCGTGTCGGCTCCACCATGCCAGCCGGAGTCCCCACGCGCGCGGCCACGCTCTTGCCCCAGCGGCCAGCGCGTGCGTTGGCGAGATCCTGACATCCGTGCTGTACTGGTCATCGAAGCAAGACTATATTTTATACCCCTACTGTAGGCTTTTATTAAGACCTATAGGTTTGATAATCGCCGTTTGATGCTTCGCGCCATGCTTTATAATTCCCGCCATGCACAGATCTCCGTGAGAGCTGCCAGCCGCTATGCGGTGCTGAGCGTAGGTTCGACCGCACCATGGTTCCGTTCAATATTTTCGGGTTCGACGGAGTGCGTCTTCTGCGCGTCGACAACAAGCTGCCCATGGGCACGTGCCTGCTGTCCAATGAGACGGTGCGCGACGCGTGCCGCGGCGACGGACGGCTGTGGTACACGAGAACTCAGTTCACCTAAAGCGAAGGCCAGTGCGGCGCGTGTCTCCAGTGTTGACTACATGCATCTCCGACGGCGGCTGCCGTGGCTCTCGTCGTGCACGAAGCAGAATACATGCGGGATGGGCTGGAGCCCAGCGCCGGCGTCGCCAGGGAAATCATGGAGCGGCGTCGTGCCCACCTATGTTTTCTACTTTGTAAAGCTCTCTTTAGGGAAAAGTCTAAAAAAAACCTTAAATTCGTACCCAAAGTCTGAAACCAACCCTAACCTCTGAATCCCTGAATTGGTCACCCTGTCCTCTCCAATCCCAGTTTATCCCAGCCCTTTACGTGTTTGTGTGAGATGGGATTGAGTGCATGGCACAAAGAAGGGGAAAGGCCTGCCAACAAGGACTGGCTGTGGGCCTCGTAGGTCCCTCATAAAGCCCAAAACGAACCCACCTCCCTCCCCTGTTTCTCACCTGACGCTGCCCCTTATTCCGGTTTTCATCCCCTTCCTCGCAGCAGCAATGGCGGCCGGTGGCGGTTGATCGCTAGAACGCAAGAAGATCGAGGCGGCCGGAAAAATCGCTGGTAATCTCCTTCCTCTTTCTACCCATCTTGTCATAGTTGCATCTCCCAGCGCTGATTGTCTCTGGTTAGGGTTTTTGATTAGGAAAAGTGAGGGTTCTTAGGGTGTTTAGTGAGTTAAATTTGGATTTCATCTTGCATTCAGTTTGGATGTGTTGTATCAGCCGTTGATTTTTGTCAACAATTGTGTGGCAATGCAGGTTAGGGTTCGTATTTTCATCATGGATCCATGTGACATACTGAATGTGAGGTATCACTTTGGTGGCCAATTTGTTTGGATGGGACCTAACTTAGACTATGTTGGAGGAGATGAGGCAATGTCACAGATAGAAAGGGACAAGTTGTCTCTGCCAGAACTGAAAGGGTTTCTTGGTGATCATGTTCCTGTCAAACAAAGTATGAAAATATACTTCCTGTTGCCTGGTAGAGAACTAGTGGATGGGTTGTTTTTTCTGTGTGATGATGCTGGCTGCATGAAAATGTCTGAATGCATAACTGAAGGAGGAATTGCTGATGTTTACGTGGAGAATACAAGAAAATAGAGAGAAATGTGAGAAGTGGACTTCTAGTCCAATTTTCCTTTGTTGGATATAATTGATTTTCCAACAGCAAGCACAAACTGATGCTAACATCAGGGCAAGCCAGCAGAATGGCAGCAGAGGAAAAGAACATGCCCAAGCAGGACCAAGTGTAGGGAAGAGGAAGGCTCCTAAAAAGCAGAATTTGCAAGGCAAGAAAAAAGCAAAGAAGTGAACCAGCTTGACAAGTGTACTGGTCATTTTATTTTAAGTTTTGGTCAAAACTGGAGATTCTACCCTTTTGGTTTTAGTACTGCTCATGTGCTTTTGGTTCAGGTCAAAACTGCTTATTACAGCCTCTTGGTTTAAGTACTGGTGTTATGTACTGTTCATTTACTGAAATTTGAGTTATGTTTCAAGTACTGTTTTAATGTCAATTGCAAGTGGAACTAGATAGTTTTGTGAACGGCAACTACAAAGTGTGCTCCATTTGTCTACTGTTGTCAAGTGCAAGTCGATGTTGTTCTTAAATTATCACAAAAACTGATGTTAAGTGGAAGTAGATAGTTCTCTGAAATTATCACAGAAACTGGACTAGACGCAGTTCTGAAATTATCAAAAAAGAAAACTGCTGTCAAGTGCCAACTTTCCACTACTTGCATGCTGTTAAATTTGACACACAAACTGAAGTTCCATTCATATTTTCATGAATTGAGTACAAAGCCGATACATCACAGAAATTCGAGTACAATCTGTGAAGTTCTACAACCTACTAACATGATTATGCCATAAAATGCACAGTTGTGCATTGCAGCTCTCTCCATCTTTTCACATATAGCCCTCATTGATTAATTTTCTTCATTCTTCTCCTGCTCCATTTCTCTGTTCCTGTTGGCCATAAGAATTCATCCTCCTGATTGCATCCCTTAATCAATCATCACTTAATGAAGAAATGAGAAGCACAGATCGTCATGCCATGCAAAATACCTACAGCCTTCAGTCTGAATCAACAAAGCATACAATCAAAATCATCAAAGAAAAAGAGATCTCAAATAGGAGGAACAGAGCAAGAATGCAAGATACAGTAACCTACAGTTCCTAGCACGCAATAGTAGTATCTTTCAGGATTTTTGTCGCTCCAAGATATCCAGCAGCAGACTTCTTTGGTGGCACGCAGTCGCATTGCCTCGCCGGCTGGTACGCCATCGGGTTCTCCGGGCACCGGCGACCTAGCTACTGCCCTGCGACGGCGCCCTCTGCCTGAGTACGTCCAGCTGGAGGAGGAGGCCATCGTCGACTGCTGCGCCGCCGCTGGCTCTGCCGCCGCCCGCCAACCCTCCTCGAGTAGCTGGATCCGCCGCCGCCGCCCGCCCGCCGCCACCGCGGCCAGCCCGCCCGCCCGCCGCCGCCGCCACATGCAGTTCTTATTTGCCACACCCGCCGCTACTTAACTGAATATTGAAAGGGGGCAGCGACAGTCAAACTTGTGTCTGATTAAAACCATAATCCGTGCCACGTCAGCAATCCTGGTGCACAAATGAGCTTTTAGCATAAATCAACCAGGATTGGCTGGGATTAGAAAGGACAGGGTGAAGAATTCAGGGATTCAGAGGTGAAGGTCGTTTTCAGACTTTGAGTACGAGGTCAAGGTTTTTTTTAGACTTTTCCCCTCTCTTTATAGTCTTCTTTTGGAATAGCTCTCTTAATAAACTGACAAAGGACAAACCATTCGAAAAAGATAAACAAACTATGCTCACGGTGAATAATATAACAAATTGAATGGAATAGAAAGATGGTCCATTAGTCTAACCTTCGTATCTAAAGCTTGGATGCAGAATGATTTGAGCTAAGAATAGTTCTTTCATGTGAGATTATCTCCTAGAACATGCATATGAATCAACTGAGAAGTGGTTTAAATGTAGAGCTGAGAAGATAGACAAATTGCACCCCTCAATAAGTGTCTTAGTTATGGAAAGCCATCAGTGTTGAATGGTCTAGCATTTATCGCCAACAGAGACATTTAAGCAACTGGCTATAACACAATGACAAGAAGAGCCTGTTTGTACAAATACAATCAAGAGTCCAATATTCTAGGTTGCAAAGCAAAATGACTAGCAGGATGCATAAGCAATAGCAATGCCCTAAACCTATTTAGGCCAACTCTAACCGATCCCCTATCTGGTGCTAGAGGAGTAAAATTGCGGTTTTCCTGTATAACCGGGACCTAGCCGAACCCCTAAAACCCATAAAGAAGGATAACTTATCCTCCAATCATATACAACGCCTATATTTACTCCGCCGCTACAGCTTGGAGGAAAATATCCCCTCCCCTCCGTTGCCTCACCCACCCCACTTCCGCGCGACATCTATGTTGGCGCCATCCTTCCCGCCTCCGCCAGCCACCACTTGACACCGCGGACGCTCCGTAGGCCCCACCGCGGTTGAGGGTCGGGAACTAGGGTAGAGGGTTGTGGATCGTCGAGCGGACGAGGGTCGTCAACTAGCTAGGGTCAAGGGGTCGAGGATTGCCGAGGGGTCGAGAGGTGGCATAGTGTCAAAGTATTGTAGAAATCCATGGCTTCATCATTAGCCCGAAGTAACCGAGGCATGATGGTACGAATTTCTCCAAAGTTGTTTTGGAATGGAGTCCCGGATAGGATGATCCGCCTTTTGGTACGAATTTCAGCAAAGGCCTTCCAAATAGCGATATTCGGAAGTCTCTTGCTGTACTTTGTACCAAAAAGCGAATTATCTTATCTGGGACTCCGTTCCAAAACAACTTTGGAGAGCTTCGTACCATCATGCGCCTGTTACTTTCGCCTAATGATGAAGACATGGTTTTGTTTGAATCCTTTGACACTACACAAACGTCGGACAATCATGAGAGAGAGGCGGTCAATATACCCCCTCTCCGATAACTTCGAAGAGGGGGGGTCGATATATATACCCCCTCGCTGATAACATTTTTTTCTATGTATATGTCGCCATTGTCGATATACCCCCTCTCAGATAACTTCGACATGAGGGGGGGTCGATATATATACCCCCTCCCCGATAACATTTTTTTCTATGTATATGTCGTCGTTGTCGATATACCCCCTCCCCGATAACTTTGATATATCCATCTCTAATGTTTGTATATTAATTGTCATGTTGTAATATTTGTAGAAACTATGGATCATCAAAGAGACTTCGGTCAAGAAGAGATATTGGGGGACATAATCCGCGACGGAGGTGATGTAGTCTTGCCGTTTCTCAACGACGTCGAAGAAGGTCTGCAAGGAGAGGAAGAAGGCTGCATTGATCGAACAATGGAGGAGGGTCATGATCGTGATGGTGGCTCCAGTGACCGAACGAAGTCGGGATCAGCTGTTGCAAAGTCCGGCGAGGTGTGTGTGTGTGTATGTGTGTGTGTGTCTATATATATATATATATATATATATATATATATATATAAAGCCTGTGTTGACTAGCTAATTATGCATTAATTGTTTTGGTATGTGCATATATTAATTCTTCTTTCTTTTTTTATATAGCCCTCTGGATCAAGCAATACTTCAGTAAAGAAACGAGGCCCAAAGAAAAAGTTGCGCCCGGATGAAAGGTTCACGATCACAGAAATCGCGCGCGATGGCCAACCAATTAAACCCCTCCGGACTAAGGAAGCATTTTCTGCTCGGTGTGGGGTTCTTGTTAGGGACATGATCCCGATCAACATCGAGCTATGGAATGAACCTAAGAAGGAAGAGCTTCTTCAAGTTTCTTTTGTCGAAGATAGACAGAAAGAAGATCTTTGGAAAGCGCTGAAGGTAAATTTCACCCTACCGGAAGAGGAGGATCTGGAGAATCCAGTTATAGAGCCATTGATCAAGTCCTATGCTCTCAAGAAGATGGCAGATCTATTCAGGAGGTGGAAGAATGAGTCGAAAACAACGTATGTTGACCAAGACAAGACTCCAGAATTCACTGGCCGATTTGAGAAGATAAGAAATCACTGGCCCGCATTTGTGGCCAACAAGACATCAGAGAGGAGTAAGAAGATGTCAGCGACTAACAAGATAAATGCTGCAAAGAAGGAGCATTACCATCGCATGGGGTCATGTGGCTACCTCAAAGCCCGGCCGTTGTGGGACAAGGCTGAGCAGGACCTAATTGCTAAAGGGATCGAACCAGAGACATTGCACTTGCCAGACCGTTGTAGGACTTGGTTCTTTGGGGCTGGTGGAACATTGGACCATGAAATAGGGAAGTGCTGCTGGACGGACGAGCAACGTGCAACACCCGTCACGAAGCTTCGAAAAGCAATCAACAAAGTGCGGGAAGGGAAGTTCATTCCTGACAGAGAGAACGACGAGCTCACAAGGGCCCTCGGGAATCCTGAGCACCCTGGACGAACACGAGGCACACCAGGCTCCATTGCGTGGAAGGTTGGGTTTCCCTACGCAGGAGGTTACAAAACCCAAGAGAGGAGGAGGAAAGTGCAGCAGAGCGAACTGCAGGAGCTTAAGGCAAGGGTAAGAAAGCTAGAGGAACGAGATGCTGAGAACCAGCAGCTGTGAGATCCTGCCCAAGATGCTACCCCAGAAGCTACCCCGCCATCTCAGCGAAGAAGCAGTGTGGCTTCCACCGAGCTCGTTCAGCAGCCTGACTTGACGGGTCCTAGCTACCCCCGTGGATTTTATCACGGATTCACACCAGTGCCACCATATGACGCAATGGGATCAGCTCAAAGTCAAGGCGGCTGTCGGCTCTGTGTTCCCTCCTTCACCCGGAGCAACTTTTCATTGTCGTCTGATTCCACAAGGGTATGTTGTTGTGATGATGGATGAAATAACGGAGGGATTTCAGGAGCTCCAGCTTGACCACCCTACAGGTGATGGGGAGACTCAGCTGGGTCTTGCTATGCATACTCCGTGTCTATGGCGGAAGGAGCACATCAAGCTTCTGAACTTCACGGCTCCTGCTAGTCAGCTGGGCACTCCGCCTCCTCCGCCTCCTCCGGTGAGTGATCAGGGCACTCCGCC